AACAACACACACACACAAAAACAAAAAAAAACAGAAGCACAAAAGCAGCCAACATCATAGCTATAGCTTCACCACTCGTCCTACTGACGAGACAACCCATCCGTGGCTAAGTCCGGGATGTAGACGATAAGACGGATTTCTTAGCGAAGATCCTTCTGCGATCCTCCTTTGACTTCTCTGGAGGTACTGTAACCCGCACCCTCAAACCCGCAGTTAGTCAAGGTTTCGGCACTTTGCGTTGAGGCTTGGGGGATTCGGGCTTGACACACCCGGAACCTAAATCCTACAAACCCTAGATCCTGAATGTTTTGTTGACGAACCCCAGTTCAGAAACTACTAGACTCACTAGACTCTACGCAAAACAACCCTAAGTTCTGACATAGGAGTTCAGTAGCCGGGGACCCCACCTTCTTTGGACGCAACAAGCATGGAGCGGACCTCACTGGTTCTCATGGGAGCTTGGCTGACTTCTGAACCCCTCCAAAACCTAAAACTTTTAGCCTAGTCATTACAGGTCATATAGAAACCCAAAAAGTTAAAGTCCCAAGAGCCCACCAGAAGAAAGCCAAGGGAGATGCTGGTTTGGCGCCCAAAAACTCACCACCCTGACATCGAAGCCTACAGTGTCTAAGCTTCAAATTGACCAGATTACAAAGTTTGCATAGTGGTGGAAATTGAACAGGAAAGCACAAATGTTCAAGCGCCCTTGCATCATCTGAAGCTATCCATAAAGGAGTTCAAGCTCGTCAAAGCTTGCGCTGAGTTGGGCCCATCTCTTCACTCACCGCCAGAGCGGCTGGGTAGGGCTCCAAAGCGTCGTCAGGAGCTGTCGATGCGGCCGTGCGGATGTAGAGAAAAGGGAGCTCCTCGCCCGGAACCGGCTGAGCCTCACGCATGGTGTCGGGCGTTACAGGCATGCCAATCACTGCAACTTCAGAGAAAAATAGAGAGATAGATAGATAGTTAGTTAGATAGATAGATAGATAGATAAATAGATAGATAGACAGAGAGATAGGTACGTACGTACGTACTTACTTACTTACTTACTTACTTACTTACTTACTTACTTACTTACTTACGTGCTTACTTACCGACCGGTTTGCAATTATACATACAGTACATGCGTACATACATACATACATACATACATACATACATACATACATACATACATACATACATACATGTATGCACGCATGCATGCATGCAGGCATACATTCATACACAGACACATGCAGACATGGGCGCATGCATACATAAATTGATGTACATGTGCATGCACATGACATGTACGTATATATATATATATATATACACATGTCGTGTTGAGACTTCATTTCGGCTGCTTCCATGCATGGGGGGATAGTCGGTTGGTTCAGCGTTGTGTGTGTATATATGTATATAAATATGTATATGCAAGAGTGCTTCGTGGTAAAAACTTGTGACATCAGCAGCACCAGCGACCCCAAACCCTACACTAAACCTTGGCGATGATGTTTCAAAGCCTAAGGCCTAAACTCTAAATCCCAACAGCCTAAACCCTTATGCCCCAGTGGACCAGTATTGGTGTGCCGTCGTTGCCCAGGCCTCGGAATACCAGTCGCTTAGACCTTCGAAGAGGGCATTCCCCTCACCGAGACCTCGGCTCGGGTATCGGTTGTTTTAAGGCAGTATGGGAACAGCAACAACAATAATCATGATAATCATAATCATGATAATAATATTAATGATAATAATAATAATGATAATAATAATGACAATAATAATGACAATAAGAATAATGATAATAAGAATAATGACAATAGGGTTCCTTGTAGGCTGCCTGTATATGCTTCTGTAAAAGGGTGTCTACAAGTGGCTAGGGATTAGGGTATAACAAAGAAGGGCCTGGGCAGTTGGAATTTGTGGTATACTACCGCATTTTATAAGTTTAATAGCACTAATGTGCATATTCTTACTATCACCGCTATTAATTAAGATTCTAAAACTTACTAATATTAATACCCTAAACCCTAAACCCTAATATTCATATCTTCACGGCGTTTTAGTATCGCGGTTCAGGGTGCAGACTGGGGGATCGAAGGTTGAGTCTCCGAGCCGTTTTGAAGTTATCCATCTTATACATCTACTGTAGGGGCCTTAAAACATCCAAATAGGGTTTAGGGTTTAGGGTTTAAGGTATAGGGTTTAAGGTTAAGGAAAGATATTGGGTTCTTTATTCGAAATGAAATCATAGTAGCTGCAACAAGTATACTCCAGAACCCTAGTCTATTCATCAAGGCGCCTGTGTTGACCCTCAACTCCGAAAGAAACAACCAAGCTCTGAAGCCCCATCAGAGGTAATGTAGGGGCCTAGATACTTCGAAGAGGGTTTTGGGGCCCATCATACTATAGTTCTAATAAGGCATCCCCCAAATAGTATAGGTAATTATTAATTTTTAAAGGCCCCTCTAGCAGATGGCTCAGTTCCGGGGTCCGGGAATCTTCTTCCTGGGTTTGCTGGTAGTGAAGTGCGTCTTCAAGACTTGTGGATATTGCGCCCCTACGTCCCCAAAACTTTAAACCCCAAGCCCTAAACCCTCAGGCCCTAAGCCCTAAACCCTTAAACCTTGAAGCCCCAAACCCTAAACTCTGCGGCCCTAAGCCCTATAAACCCTTAAACCCTGAAGCCCCAAACCCTAAAGCCTACAGTCCTAAGCCCTCTAAACTTTCAACCCCGAGCATCCTTCAACCAACCCCACCCGACAAGCACTACAGCCGCAAGACGCAAGAGCGGCTGTCTCCACACCTCCAGTAAGCCGATCCGAAAATACCCGACGATGTTTCCCGACAGCCCGATAGAAACCAAAGAAGACCCAAGGAAGCTTGAACGAACATGCAGCATGCAGGCGACCACTGGAGGCATCGCTTTTCTCGAAAGAAGTCTAGTCCTATGCTGCTTGACTCCACTATACCTGAAGGGGCATACCCTACCCCTTTTTTAAGGTACCTAGTTTTATGGTTCGGATTTGTTATATACAAAAGTAGGTACCCCCAAAAAGGGGTAGGGTATGACCCTATAGGTAGTGTGTTGCAACACGGAGGCTGGAGTTCGTGAATGGAGGTCTCTCGTCCAACCAGCTCATGCGAAAGCAAAAGCCTGGGTCAGATTGGACTTAGCACATCAGGAAACCTACATATGATACATGTAGATACAGGTAATGTCCATGCTTGGTGTTACAGGTACCTTGCTCGGTCTTTTTGCTTCTATTCTTGTTTGTAAACAACCGAAGAAAAACCCTTCACGCAATGCGGAGGGTTAAGAGTTAAGGGTTCAAGACTTCGTTCAAAAGGTCTTGTGCAGAAGAAGGGGTGGTACTATGAAGCGCTATGATAGTTTGTGGATCCTTACGGAAACTGGAAGTCGATGCTCTCGACTTAGAAACCCTACGTGAAGCGCTTCATGTGCTGCGGCTCTCCAGATCATGTGGCGATGGTCGTGGGGGCAGTTGTGGCTGTGAGGGACTCCGGACCTCGTTGTTGCGGTGGTTGGTGGTCATGGTTCTGGCGGTCGTGGCTGTGAGTGCAGCAGAAGGTGAGGCGGAGGAGGGTGGAGGCACCTCCGTGTTGGGTCACGAAGTTTACTCGTTGTTTCTTGTAGGATGGTTGCTGTGGTGGTTTGATCTTGCGCCCCGTCCGCCCGATTCCGGCACGTCTCGGCAGACATCTCGGAGGCTACGGTGGGGGGTGTCGGGAGTGGGGTGTGTGTGTGTGTGTATGTATGTGTGCGTGAAGCCTCAGACCTGTAGTAGACTAGTTAGGCTGCTAAAACCGAAGAACCAAGACTTGTCAAGTGTATAGTATATGGTATATGTGCTTACCAAATGGCACATCGCATATCCTTGCTTATATTGAGTACATAGCTGACCGGTATAATAGGTAATAGGTAGTCGATGGTTGCTAGTCAGCTAGTAGATGAAAGAGACTACCGACCGTCGACACAGTCTAGAGTATAAAATGAAAAACATAGAGCACAGAGTCTGGAGTGCAGACTACAGCCTACAGCACAGGACAGTATTAGCACTAGCCTCATTTTCAGTACCAGCATTTTTTCTGGTGTTTCTGTGAGTATGAGTATGCGTATTAGCATGCATTATTCCTATTCGCACTAGTGTTTGTATTAGTAGCATTCTTAATCGTAGTCCGAGTAGTAGTACTAGTGCCAGTGCTAGCATCAGTATCGGCGCCAGTACTAGTCACAGAAACAGTGTTCGCAACAACCCGTATCCGTATTAGTACGAGTACAAGCGTAGTATAACAAAAAAAGAATTCGGAGATGATCTATCTAACTTTTCAGGCCTCTACATTCGATGCTAAATACCCCGGAACCCTAAAAACAGCAATGCAGGATGGAGGTCTTCAGGGCATCGGGTGTGGATGAGGGCTTTCGGGTGTAGAGTTTAGGGCTCAAGACTCAAGAGGCTTAGGCTTTGGGGTTTCGGAGCCTTGTTTTGTTTGCATTTGCGCCGGGAAGCTGTTCTCGAACGGCAGCGGCATACCCTTGCATCTTTGCAGCACACCTGCGGCCAATGGGGTAAGGCATGCAGCTGCGAACCAGGCGGCGGCTCGTTTTAGTGTCGTGGCTCACGCCAATCGTCTTCAACTGTTTGCCCCTAGCCAAATCATCTCAGAGATCGGATTCGAGAACAAACCACCGAATTCAGCGGATAAGCATGCAAGCCCAGAAACCTCACGCAAGTTTGCCAAGCTGACATGACAATCTGCGCTACAGTCAAACCAAGTGGCCATCATGGCACGTTGAGCATCTACATGTACCCACACGGAAAAGAACATGGCCCACAGCGACTCAGCATTTGAACCACTCCCGTCTAATCCTGCCGCACACGCTGCGACTGCTTGCAGGCTTGTTTAGCATGCGGAAGCTGTCGGTGAAATAAACCCTCAACCCTAAGCCCTCATCCCTAATCCCTCAACACTAAACCCTACTCCCTAATCCCTCAACCCTAAATCCTAATCCCTCAACCCTAAACCCTCAACCCTAATCCCTAAACCCTAATCCCTCAACCCTACTCCCCAAACCCAAACCCGAAAAAATGCTCATCCTCCTAGGTCAAGCTTGGACCTGACGCTCCTAGGAGAACTACAGTCTAGGGTTTAGGGTTTACCTTTGGGATTATATAGGGGTTCCTAAGAACTACAGTTCAGGGTTTAAGGTTTACCTTTGGGAATATTTGGGATGCTAGTACCCCGGGAAGGCTCAAGGCTACCTACTCTACTACTAAGTGCAGGTGCCGAGTCTCGAGCGTATGCAGTTTTCAGCAGGGACAAGTGTGTTGGCTCGGGCACTGCACCCGGCACTGCAACTCTAAGGACCAACCCTTCACCCATGAGTATGACTTTTCAAGTCCGGATCTCGGTGGACTGGGGTTTGGAGTTTCGCGTTTTAGGGATGAGGAACCTCCCAAACCCTAAACCCCGAATTCTAAGCCCAAAGCCCTAAACCCTTAACCCTAAGCCCTTTACCCTACGCGCTAAACCCAAGCCCTAAACCCTAAGCCCTAAACCCTAAATCTGAACCCGAGGCCCGAAGTCCCTAAACCCCAACCCCTAAATCCGAACCCTAAACCTTAGAAACGCCACGGATTCTTGGAGCCTGGTCGCCCCTTCTGCGGAAGCACGGCGACAAACGCAACCTGCAGGCTGAGAGCAGTGGTAGGGGCCGCGGGGTCCTGTGATTAGGGTTTAGGGTTTAGGGTTTAGGGTTTAGGGTTTAGGGTTTAGGGACAACAAGCACAACTGAGGATGAGCAGCTCTCGTTGGCCAAAGCCTGTACCCCAGGGGTCGGGGTGGGCAAAGGCAAAAACGCGAATTAGTGCCAGACACTAAGTCCAAAACGGAAATGCCGGGTTGTGCTGGGCAGGGGCAGTGCAGGCAGGAGTGTGGTTGGGAGCAGGGTGGGCAACAGCAAAAACGAGTCAGTGTCAGACACTAATTCGTTTATGCGGTAAGAGTAGATACTGCGGCCGTTTTGGCTCAAGTACACGCTGCGCCTAGATAAAAACGATGCTAAAAACCTTTGCCTACCCGAACAACTCAGCCGGCAACGCCAGAGGTAATGGAAATTAAGAACCTTAGGGTAGCCGTAGCCTGCTCCCGCGGAGTGGGGTTCTTATACAGGACTTCATTGTAAGACCAATGCGAAAAAAAGACTCCTGCTACGACTACTGCTACGGCAAATCCCACGACTATGGCTACCACAACCACCACTACTACTACCACTACTACTACCACTACTACTACCACTACTACCACCACCACCACCACCACCACCACCACTACAACTACTACTACTACTACTACTTCTTCTTCTTCTCCGACGACTACGACTAATGCTACGAATACGACTACGACTACCACCACCACTACCACTGCGACTACTACTTCTTCTTCGACTACCGTTTTGGCTACTGTTTCTCTTTTATCCTGAAGACGGCGCTTCGTGCTTGGCTTTATGCCTAACTTAGGAGCCTTAATCGTCAGAACAAGGCCTCTTTTAAGGGGCTCCTTGGAGGGTTCTGTAAGGGCTACAAAAAGGCTCAACACTTAGAACAAGGATTTTTTGATTTCCCTGCTATAAGTACAAAGAGATATATATGTGTAAATATATGTGTGTAAATAAATAAACAAATAAATAAATAAATATGTATGTATATATATATATATAGGGACTACAAGGCGTGAGGGAAGCCCGTCACTGAATACTCAGACCAATACAGTGGCCGCCGCACCTGTATGCTGGAGCAGGAAGCATTTCGCGCGAGCATTCGCGAAACTTGCTGCCGCAACCTGGCGCCAAGTAGGCAGACAGCCCTAAACCCTGAACCCTAAACCGGAAAACTCGGTGCACAGCGTCGAGAGCGTCTGCAGCTTGGGCTGTGAAGTTTAGGCAGCACGTGCTCTTTAGTACTATTGGGCTCCATGCCGTTTACGATCTACGCGTGATTGATACATCACCCGGCAGCAAGAAGATTCCAACCAAAGAGAAAGTCTGTTAACTGTTTGAGTAGGTGTTCAGATTGTTTTGTATTGCAGTCTTTTGTCGTTAGCACCCAGTGAATTATCCTACTTTGTGTTCAACCATGAAGATCACATCTTGCATAATGTAGGGGTTTAAATAATCACCAATACTGTTTTGAGAGTTCCTTATTCAATTATAGTATAATGACCCCCAAACCCTATTCTAATTATTATTAAGGCCCCTACATTACAGAGGTGTCTTAGAATGGCGAGGTCGGGCCTTGATATGAACCACCCAGCCCTCAACCCTGAACCCTAACTCCTAAACCCTGAACCGGGAAAAGAGCCATCACCGCAATAAGCACAAGAATAAGAACACATCCTTCGTCGCTCCTGGCGGCGCCTTTGGGACCGGGCCTGCTCGCATGCGAAGCCTGGCCTGTCTACAGTGAAGATGTCATCGTCGTCCCATATGCAGACGATGTCGGAAGCTGACCTCGTAGATGTCTATATGGAACTGTAGGTACTTCCGACATCAATGCTGGCAACACATTTGCACATGCTTCAGCCAAAACATCAAGAACCAGGCTCTCTTGCAGCTGAGACGGCCATGTTCCGCTTTTCTCCGATCGTGTGCCGCTCTTCGAGGTGGAAGTACCTCGCAATCAATCAGAGAATGGCATACTTGTTTGGCTGTTGTTGATCGCATGCAGGGAGTTGCCAGGCACCGTGAAGCTTCGTACCCTACAAGAAGCAGGACGACACATAACCAAGGGGCCTAAATAATTACCTATACTAGTTCGAGGGGTTCCTTTTTATAATTGTAGCATAATGGGCCCCAAAACCCTTTCTAATGATTAACGCCCCTGTATTATCATCAGCACCCGTCTCCTCACACCGCCAACAAGACCATCGACAGCGTTTTAGGCCTATTTGACCTGTTGCCATCAACATTACCGCAAGCATGCCGAGAAAAGGCATGTGGAACATAGTATGAGAATATTAAGCAAGAATATTGACAAATATAATCAACCAGCTATAGTAAGAATGATAAAAAACACACACATCCACGCATGCTTGGCGGAGTGGTATGCTGAGTGCAGTGGGAGAAGATGTTGGTATCGACATGGCGGTATGCTTCAGACAATCGCTTCAAAAGCGGAGCAAGAAGAACGGCACACATGCATCATAGTTTGAACTAACGGAAACAGAATCGAGCAAGACATATCGAAGCTGTACGCTGACGAGGTGATTGCCATCTTGCAGCAAATAAGGGTCCATGTACACATATGCTGAAACTATCGATACTTAGACATTAAAGTGGTTCTTGTTTAGGTGCTTGAGGGGCAAATAAAACATATACTGTATTGATACACGAACCCATAGGGAATACGGGCGACAACCAGCTGTAAGCGCGACGGGCCTGACAGGCAGCTTGGACCGAACGAGGGGCGTGCTGGCTTCCGGGCTGTCATCCATGACGACCACCTGAGACGGATTGAGGCTGAGGGCCTGGGGTTCACTATAGGGGCATTGGGGCCGTTAATATTCCCACCAGTATTCCTTATAGGGTTACTCGATATACTACGACATATTTATAATATGATTTATCCGACCGCGGGAACACAGGCATGTCCTTGAATACCTTGTCGGATTGATCCTTCTTGGCTCCAGCGCTTCCATTCTAACACACACGACCGCCTCAAGACGAGGTTTCATATTATATAAGCATGAGCTCCCACATACCTGTGGACATTGTGTCTTATCGTAGTGTCAGTTATTGCCTCGACATGCTTCGGCTTCCTCATCATCGTCCTGTTTTTCATCACCGTGATCATCACCATGGTCATGGCAACACCCATCAGTATTGGCATGAGCATTTTCACCGTCAGCATAACCATTATCATGCTGAATACTCGCTTCTATGATCAAGAGCATCAAACTCGTCAAACTTTTCGCGACATCCTCGTCAGAACCGTACCAGCAGCATCAAAATTGAAAATCGGCCTCCACCGCGCCAGGGTAGTCCTGCATCTCGATCTGCCGGATAGCCTGTGCCCGAGAGCAAGCGGAACAGTCAAGCTGCCTATGTAGTCGAGGAGCCTAAACATTACCACTACTAGTTTGCGGTTCTTATTATACTTATAGTATAAGACTTTTGTATGCCCCAAAAACCCTATTCTAATTGTCAAGGCGCCTATAGTACTATAGTAGTCTGAAAGAGGTTGGTTATGTTGTAAGCAACTACGACAGCGGCTAGCATCACATCCTCGGCGATGTCCTACTGTTGATGATATAACTCCTGCATTACCTTCAGGTCCCTAAACTATGGTGATTATGGTATATTCCTTATTATGTGCAATGCAGGATTTATAACATCCACCGTAGTTACGCCAGCTGGTTTCGTGATTGGCTTTAAGTGGGTAGTTCTCTAAATTAGGGTCCCTTTTTAGGTCCCCAATATAATACGGCACCCTTATAAGGACCCGAAAATCCCTAAAGCGGTGCCTAATCCCAGATCCCCCGGAAGATCCAAAAAGTAGATCCCTTAATGGGGGTTCCTATAAAGAGCCTTTAGTAGTATAGGATCCCAAATTAGGAGTTCCACTTTCTAGATCCTTCCGGGGGTCTGGGATTGAGAGAACTACCCATAATATGGAAGACGGACCGATGCGGTTGAGGACTCCTGCCCTGCCACCCTTACGAATCGCCGGCTCGGTTTAGGGTTTAGGGTTTAGGGTTTAGGTTTTAGGTTTTAGGGTTTAGGGTCTAGGGTTTAGGGTTTAGTGGGGTCTAGGGTTTAGGGTTTAGGGTTTAGGGGTTTAGGTTGTGGGGTCTAGGGTTTAGGGTTTAGGGTGTCGGGTAGTTGTAGGCCCAAAACCATACACACATGGTTTGCCTTTTGTTCTGCAGGATCCGTGGGCTCAGGAATCAACAGTGCCGATCGGCCTGCTGTAGCCAAGCGAAATTTTAAACCCTAAACCCTATAGCCTCTTGTAGAGCCCTGAAAGGAACCCCAAGCCCTAAACTCTACCTCTAAAGGAACGCTACCCAACCCTAAACCCTAAACTCTACCCGAATTCTGCCCTTACAGGAACCCTAAAGCCTAAACTCTGCCCTGGACCTTTAAGGAACCCTAAACCCTAAACCCTAAACCCTAAACCCTAAACACTCGGCCTGCTGTAGCCAAGCTGGGCGGTCGTAGGTAACGATCTGCACGCTTACGGAAGGCCATCCTGGTCATACAGAGATCCGGGTTTGGGGTTTAGGGTTTCGGGTTTAGAGTTTAGGGTTTCGGGGTCGGGATAAGTACCAATAGTATTTTTTAAGCGGTGCTTAGTATGATTAGATAATGCCCCAAAACCCCAATGCAGATTCGAATTATCAAGGCCGCTATGGTACGTAGAATGCTCGAGGCTTTATTAAAAGGCTTCACTTCAAATGTCACCGGCCCTAGTAACAGTCGCCACAATAAAAAGCACAAGCAAACCGGCAACTTTCTGGTGCTACACTTTGTGCTC